AAAAAAAATGTGTTTCAGCCCTTCAGACTTTGACTTCTAAAGCAAGTAACTGTTACAGCTATCTATTTATTTCCTCTCTGGGAATCTTAAAGTTAGGAACATATGCCACTGTCAGGAAGCAGGTAGAGAGGGGAGAGGGAGGTGGGACAGCACAGGTGGGCAGAAGTGCTCACTATTTCTAAGCTGCTTGTCATGGGGTGAGTGATAAGGTGTCTTTTCCTGTTGAAAACACTGTTACTGGTATGTTTTATTTTGTTTATATCTGTCAGCAGTTTGTTATTCACAGAGAAAGTATTGAAATAAAGAAATCGGAGGAGGGGAGGGTGTGGGATGTCTGCCTTCGCTTTAGTGACTGCAACTTCCAGGTTGGAACTTGGTTTCCTGGATGCTCCTGATACCTCCTTCCACCTCCATCCTCACTGAGTGCAGACTCACTCAGTGAGGCAAGATTTATGCCAATACCTTGTTTTGATTTTTTTTCTCTGCAGATTTACTAAGTTGTGATCACTGCTGGCTAGTTCCTATGTGGTTGTTTGCTGTGTTAATTTTAAGTTACATACCTTATATATAGTTTTAAGGCAGAGTTGAATATTTAGTTTAAGAGTTAATGAGTTTGGTTAGCCTTAGGAATATAGAAGATGTAAGAAATAATGGTTTAAGTGTGGTAAAATTTTAAATGAATCACTGATTGATGACTTCCTCAGACTTCCATGGTTAAATGTGGCTTGAATGCTGTCCTCCTCGTATTCCCAATAAGATTTGATTTGGCAAGAAAGAATCCCTATTACTTAAAAATAATGGTCTCAATAATTGTATATTCTGAGCAATCTATATTTGATGTTAATTTAAATTGAGAGTATATGCCTGAAAAATGTTAAAGGAGTAACGCTAGCATAGATAATAACAAGATGTAAATACTGTGAGTTCTGTGTAAAAGATCTACTCTTTTTTCCCATCTTGCTTTATGTAACTTTTTTGATAATGTGGAAAGAAAGGAACAGGAGCTAATAAACTCAGAGCCAAGTGTGCTTTGGTTCCAAATTTTCAAGCCAGAAACAGACAAACCGGCACCTGTTGGTAATTATGAGCAAGCCAGCTTTGCCAATCCCAGGCTCTGCTTTAGAAACTTTTTACTGGAACTAAACAATGTTGCCATTTTTATTTTTAGGTTTGCTGGCATGGGTAATCTCATTAAGGTGCTAACCAGGGACATAGACCACAATGCAGCACATTTTTTCTTGGACTTTGAAAGTAAGTCTCTTTAGCCCTTCACAGCTGGTGCCTAATGGTAAAGTTGAAAGATTAATTATCCTCACACCACAGTGAAGGCCAGCCAGAACATTTGTTGATAAAACATGGGGATCAAAAAAAAAAAAAAAAACTTGCATGATTTCTTTTTCTTAATCGTAGGCAAACATCTTCATCATATGTATAATTCTTTAGTTTCTCATTTGCTAAAATCATGTTGAGTCTGTAGCCAGTGCTGTCCTTTCATTAGTCCATGAAGCAAGTAGCCTTATGATGAACATTTGAATGGTACACTCTAGTGACCGCATTGAACAATGTATTTACTTATAATGCTTAACAGTTTTTTTTAAATCCTAATTGTGCTGCTTGTCCAGAATCAGTACATTAAATGATCTCCAAATTATTAATACTCCAGGTTGCTTAGAAGTATATGCTATATTTAATGACTATAGGACATAAGTTTTACATTCTGCTGTTTGAAATGAAAATGCAAAGGTGTGCTTTGACCCAAATGCTTACTATTTAGCTCTGAAATAAATTGCTGTTTCCGAGCAATGTTAAACTGGAGCGCACACGAGCAGCTCTTGATCAGAGACTGACTGTGCACATCCTAGCACTATTGGGACACTTAAAGAATTCTTCAGTATAAGGCCGTGAATGAAACTTCTCTTGGGGGAATTTTGAGAAGAATTGGAACAAGAGTTGTGCCATTGTGTACAGGAAAACCACATTTTGCCTCTAGGTCCTAACAGTCAACATCTCGAGAAGCAGGTTTGCTGTCTGCCAGAGCACAGTCTGGGTAACCTGAAGGACGAAATCATGGCCTAATGAACATTTTCCCCGTTACTTTTTTTTCGATTGAATAAATTTCAGATGTTCTTTTTTATAAAGGGATATTTTCTCTTTTCTCATTCTTGTCTTGACAGGTACCTTAACATGGGGAATCTTCTTAAAGTTTTGACATGCACAGACCTTGAGCAGGGGCCAAATTTTTTCCTTGATTTTGAAAGTGAGAAGATGATTTTATATCTATTCCTCTTTGCCTGCAGTAGACTGCGTTTGTCTTGCACTAAATGAATGTGTCCACCCTGCCGTCTTCTAACTGCTTTGCATGACTGAGCTATGAATTGTATGACTAAAATTTCCAATGCCTTCTAGAACTGGAAGTCCTGTTTTGTGGATGAAATTGTGATGATAACATGTCTTTATTTGAATCTTTGGGAGGAGATTTTTACATCTCTTAGTTGGGTGTTATTTTATAATTTGAGATCTATTCCCTAATGAATATACTTTTATGGAAAAATTTTGGTGGAAAGAGCAAGTCCTATTTTCATATTTATTAATAGAAGCAGTAGTTGGGGAAATATTTCATTGCAGTTGAGAAAAATTGACTAGGTTTCAATTACACATATTACAGTGTTTTAAATACAAATCTGTTCATGAAGGCCATTCAAAGCTCAGTAATTTGGGCATAATATTAAAAGGTAAGTGTGAACCTAAATTATTTAATTTTTACAGATAATTAATTTGAAGAGTTTTTTAAAAAATCATTGTATCTATTTCAGCAATTTATTTTTTTAAAAAAACTCCAAATACATATATATATATATATATATATATAAAATTAGGTTCACAGACCTTTAAGTAATTTGCCTTCTGTTTGTTTTATGTTGCATGACCTATTGTAATATGGTCTAAGAGGGGCAGGTAAGTGGCATTGACCCTGGTGCATGTTTGAAAGCTTTTGCTGTTTTGGCTGTCATCACTACTGCTTCAGCTTGTCTGTATGTCCAATTGAGAAAAATGATATTAAATTGATGTTTTAGAATGAACGTTGCTGTTTTAACTGATCACTAAAAATTGTTAGGAAAGGGTGAAGAGATAACATTTAGATTTTTAAATCACGTGATCCCTTACATTTTTATGAGATAAAACATTTACACAGATTTTTAAATACTTTAGACTTTTTCTGGTTTACAAAACAAGTCCCTTAACCCCATATATTAACTGCAATTTAGTTTATATGATGTTCTGTAATTCTATTTTATATTTTATAAATCATTATACGGTTTTTTTCCCCCTCTAAACCAGGACAATCCATATGAACACAGAAATTTATAGCTTATCTCCAATTCACAGACTAAGTGGTGGTCTCTGATTTTTCTTCTGCTTTTATTACATTTCTGTTAACAATTTGTGTGCAGGCTGGTAAAGAGTAGTCATGTCAGTATTAGGACCATATGAAATTGTTGGGTTTGGAGCGACAGAATTGGCTAGCTGAATGTTAGTTTTCTTGACCCTTCTCAACAATTGAACAGTGCTGTTTTAAGTGCATGTTTGGCATGAAATTTAATCAGCTTGGGGATGTTGAGCAGATTGCTGACTTGAAGGTTATTATTCTTTCAGATGAGGCAACTCACATTAGAGCTGTATTTTAGTTTATTCGCATCTGTTTCAAACTTGGTCTTGTACGTCTCTATGCTATTCTGTCTCCTTTTTCCTCTTTGTCTCAAATTCCTTACATTTGCAGAATCTTGGCTTTGGTACAGTCAAGATCTTGTTCAAGACTTGGCACTTGATCTTTATATAAACCTAACATTGTGTTGTGGTCAAGTGAGAAGCATCAATTTAATATAATAATATTAAATAAAGATGATTTATTCTTAAAAGAGGTTAGGGATCATTATTCTTAAAATTCAAATAATTAATTTAGTGACAGGAAAAAGTTTAAATTGCTAACAACAACAATTTTAACAACTAATAATGAAAAACTTGCATGTAAAGTATGAAGTTCTTAAAAGTAAAACCAAACCAAACTCACTGCTATCAAGTCGATTCAGACTCACAGTGACCCCCTTTGGGTTTCCGAGGTGGTAAATCTTTATAGAAGTACATTGCCCAGTCTTCCTTCAGCGGAGTGGCTGGTGGATTTGACCCACCAACCTTCTGGTTAGCAGTCAGATAGATACCTTAGGAACTGTGCTACCAGAGCTGCTTTAAGTTCTTAAAGGCAGATGTAAATTAGAACATGATATTTGCTGCCTATGTCAGCCAGTGTAGAATTTTTGATTTGATGCATTAGTGACAGAAGACATATACTGTGTACCAGGCCAGAGTTTAGATCATTGTTTTCTTATTTAGACTTTGAATATGTGTTATTTTGATTCCAACATTGGACTTAAGCAGTTTTTTCTCTCAGCCTTAACATCTTCCTGTGGGGAAAAGTTGACCTTAATTACAATTTGGCTGCTATAGAACCTTGGCTCATCAGAAAGGTCCTTCCTTATATTGTGTGATATTAGACTCACACAACTGCCAACACGTTGATTTGCCAGTTTCTTCTTATCATTCCTTAGAATAAAGTCACCTTTTTTATTAAGTAGGTAATTTAGTACAACATATTAATTTCTAGATGCACAGTAACAGTCAGATCACCAAAATAATTCAGTCTCACTGTTCCCATCGTTCTGATTAGTTAATTCCAACCCAGTGAGTCTTTATGGTTGACCAACTAAAACTCCACATAGATACATCTGGCTCAGAGCAAGTTGTGTGCAAATTACTCCTGCAGTTGAAGCATGGGTTAGTGGGATCCTGTAGTTTATCAAATGAAGACTATGCCTTTAAAGTAAGTTACTCCTTCATTCACTTCACTCACCCCCAAGCACTGCTGTTCAGTGCAGTTCAGTTCAGTGCACATTTCTGGGGAGCCTTCTTGTGCTAGCCAGTAGGTGCTGGGCTTGCAGAGAGAACTAAGGGACAGCCCTGCCTTTGGAGAGCTGGCAGTCAGATAGGATGGCTAGAAATGCAAACAAATAATTCCTTCAGATAATTAACATCAAACTGTAACTCTACAAGGATAAGCTTTACCCAGCTGTGAACAGTTCGGGTGGAATAGGAGACCTTCTTAGTGATAATTGAGTTGGTTGGGTTTTGGAGGGTGAGTTAGAATGTCTCAGGCTGATTAGTGAAGGGTATTGTAGATGGAAGAACTAGCATGTGTAAGGGCCTAGGACATGAAATGACACTCTGTGCTCAGTGAGCCATCTCTCTGCTCTCGATGTGCTCGGTGGTGGTGGTGTTAGGTGCCATCAGGTCGTCTCCGCCTCACAGCAACCCCACGCACAGCAGATGGAACACTGCCTGGTCCTGGGCCAGCCTCACGATCCCTGCTACACCTGAGCCAATCGCTGCAGCCACTGGGTCCCTCCATCTTGTTGAGGGCCTTCCCCTCTTTCGTTGACCCTCCACTTTACCAAGCATGACATCCTTTTCCAGGGAATGGTCCCCTCCGATAACATGACCAAAGTAGATGAGGTGAAGTCTGGCCATTCTCGCTTCCAGGGAGCATTCC